CTCACTACTCACGTGTTGGGGTAACGTGCACCCGGGCCTCTCCATACACACTGTCCGCTTGGAACTGCCGTAGCTATTGGCAAAATGCTCATAAAGGGGGCTTTTGTCAACCACGCGTTCCTCTTAGCAAGGCTCTGGCTACCCCCTGCATGCACACAAAAGCAGATCACGTCATCCATGTTAAATGACGGATAATTAAATGCCCGTTGAGCCAATTTATACCTGAAGTAGCCAGTTTCCCGGCATTTTTCTGGGGTGGTAAGGGAAGATAATTCGGAAAAGATACTGTTGTAGGTGTCCAGCACATGTTTTACATTCCATCTAGTAGCAATGCTGATCCAGAAACGTGCAATAAAGCAGCCATACAATCAGTAGGCGGTCAGTCATTCGAAGACCGACCAGGAAAGTGGCCACCGACGGCTGACGGCAGCAGGGTTCAGAGAAGGAAAACCTGACAGACGGGCCTTTATTCTGTGGCTTGGTTTTCAAAGGAGAACCTCCCGTTCTATGGCTCTGGTCACATGGCTTTTGGCAGTTTCAAGCTTTCGAATTTGTTTCCGCCTAAAATGCCGCGACAAGTCTTATCTCCTGAAAAGCAGCCAGCGAAATAAAGGCGTATGCAAAATCTGTTGTGCCGTGAGCCATCAATTTACTTTCAAAATTCTGATGATCTCTCTGGTCATTCCTCGGAAGTTTCTAAGCGTAGAGAACCGGGACAGACCCGTAGAATTTGAGTGGGGCGTTCGTTTCCGCTAGGGTTTGGCGAATCGGCGACAGTGGATCTCGGCGTCAAAGGTCAGCGAGACGTGTCAGGTATGTTTATTACAGCACATACGCTACCTGGGATAAACGGCGATATTCAAGATGCTGAGAGGAAACGAGGGGATAGATGTCGCGTCTTGAGTCATCTACAGGCGCATGGACGACCGAGCCAGAAAGTGACACAGCGTCCCACAACAACACTCGGCGATTAATTCAGGAGCTCACTACTCACGTGTTGGGGCAAGGTGCACGCGGGCATCCCCATACACACTGTCCGCTTGGAACTGTCGTAGCTATTGATAAAATCCTCAACTTTCCTGTCATCTGCGTGCGCAGACCGCAGTGCCTGCACCTGGATGTCACACTTTGAACCTCACGATTCCGGGTGTTGGCTTCCTGCCATCCAACTCCTTCCATGCGACATGGGAGTCATGTACGCAACGTGCCCACTTCACCATTCGGTTCCATTCGAAGCATTGTGCTGATGGAACCCAGGGAATTGGGGGAGAAGCAAAAACAGAGTTCACCTGGTTTCTTGCCGTGCGAGGCCACGCGACCAACATTAATTTTCGCTCCGATTGGGGAGGGGGCCGCAGCTAACCTTTCACCCCCAGCCCACCGTCCAAGACGCTGCCTCAGTCGTCCTCGGAGACCGCGCCGCTGGCGGACCGGCCGTCGCCCTCGCTGCCCGTGCCGCCGTCCGAGCCGACGCCGCTGCCGGTCTCCTCCACCGCTGGTGCCTCCTCCTCCTCCTCCGAGGACTCGCCGACGTCCGAGGACTGGCTGCACCAGCTGGTCTCAGAGTCCTCGGTGGTGGCTCGCCGGACGGGCGGCGCGTGCGGCGCCGCGAGGGCCGTGCTGCCAGGGCGACGAGGTCAGACGACGGCGGTGGGACCTGGACAGTCAGCCGGTGGAAAGTGCCTGCTTTCGAGATGACACGAGTAGCGGAGAACCTTTTTGTTGTTAGTTTTGGCATGCGCTTCTGCATGTGGAACGAGCAAAGACATGAATGGGAAGACAAATGGACACTCCGTGTGGTTTTTTATGGCACTCGTGCCTGAGTTCCGTGTGGGACATGTGGCTTGAAACAAAGTGGTGCACAAGACGCAGCCCACAAGACCTAGCAGAGCGTGGTTTCGATCCACGGACCTCTGGGTTATGGGCCCAGCACGCTTCCACTGCGCCACTCTGCTAGCAGAAGCGCATGGTGAGCGCAAGCAAGCGCACTGCTGGGTGATCCTCACGCATGAACAGATAATTTGTCCGACGTTAATTATCTCCAATGCGGCGCCTCACCTGGCACACCGGTGACCTTCGGCACAGCTAAGGAGGGCACAGGCGGCTCCGCGGCGCCAGGCTCCGCCTGCGCGCAGGCGACGCCGCCTGGCGGGCGGCAGGCGGCAGCGATAAGGCCGGTGCCGGCGGCAGATGCAGCTGGGGGCCGGCGGCCGGCTGCGCTGCCTACGGCCGGCTGCCGCTCGGGTGATTGGTCGGCCGGCCGCCGCTGAAGCAGGGGCCACAGTAGCGTGCTGGGGCAGCACAACAATAGTCAATGGAGTACAAAAGTAGCCATACAGGCACCTATTCAACGCATCATTACATTCGTTCCGTGACGCCATCACGCGGCCAAAAACATCTCATCAAAAGACGACGCATCTCTAGGTTCTTACTCTATCTCCGAGCACTCACCTGTAAATGGTATTTTGCAGGGCAGCTTAGACGACACTAAGTGTTTCTTAATAAGATATGAACGTCGTATACTCATCAAATACGACGTCTTGGTCGCCTTCAGAGAGATTACCACACGACCTTCACCACAGCCACCAAGCAAACGTGAATGCAACGAGTCGTGACCGGGCTATACGACTGTGGGGGTAGCGGCGCCATGTGCGTAATGGGGCCCAGCAGGCGCTGTGGTTGATGACGTCACCTTTGTTCGTGGTAGTTTAGTGGAGAGCGTGTGATCTCTCTGGTAATACCTCTCAAGTTCCTAAACAGGGAGAACTGGAACAGACCCGTAGAAGGTGGATGGGGAATCGCCTCCGCTAGGGTTTGGGGAATCGACGGCAGTGGATCTCGGCATAAAACTTCAGCGAGACGTGCCAGGCATGTTTATTATTGCACATACGCTACCTGGGATAAACGACATTCAAAATGGCTGAAAGGAAACGAGGGGATCGAGATGCTGGGATCTGGCGGTAGTTTTTGTGTTCGCGTCCACGTCATTGTGGTACCATGCCCCCCCCCCCCCCCCCCCCCCCCGCAGTGCATTCCACTAGATCAACCCGAACAATACTGTGCCTTTATCGCCATGTAAACGCGTGGTGTTTGTTGGCGTTTTAGTCATGGTCAAATGCAGTGAACAGGTCGTTTTCGGATTTGTCACGTCTTAAGTCATCTACCGGGCGCTGGCACGACCAAGCCATCAACTGACACAGCGTCCAGCAACACTCGGTGGTTGATCAGGAGCTCACTACCCACGTGTTGGGGTCAGTGTATCCGGACCCCCCCCCCCCCCCCATACACACTGTCCGCTTGGAACTGTCGTAGTTAATGATAGCATCCTCAACTATCCTGTCATCTGCGTGCGCAGACTGCAGTGCCTTACGCGCCTGGATGTCACACTTTGAACCTCACTAGTCCGGGTGTGGCTTCCCGCCATCCAACTCCCTCCATGCGACATGGGCGTCATGTACGCAACGTGCTCACTTCACCAGTCGGTCTCCCTCGAAGCATAGTGCCGATGAAGCCCCAGAGAATTGGGGGAGGAGAAGCAAAAGCAGAGTTCATCTGGTTTCTTGCTGTGAGAAGCTAGCGACCTCTATTTAATTTTCGCCCCGACTGGGGGAGGGGCAGCAGCTGACCCTCGACCCCGAGGCCCACCGTCCAAGCCACTGCCTCAGTCGTCATCGGAGACCCGCGCCGCTGGCGGACCGACCGTCGCCCTCGCTGCCGGTTGCCGCCGTCCGAGCCGACGCCGCTGCCGGTCTCCTCCACCGCTGGTGCCTCCTCCTCCTCCTCCGAGGACTCGCCGGCGTCCGAGGACTGGCTGCACCAGCTGGTCTCAGAGTCCTCGGTGGTGGCTCGCCGGACGGGCGGCGCGTGCGGCGGCGCCGCCGACTCCCGGCGCCGCGAGGGCCGTGCTGCCAGGGCGACGAGGTCAGACGACGGCGGTGGGACCTGGACGGTCAGCCGGTGGAAAGCGCCTGCTTTCGAGATGTCACGAGTAGCGGATAACTTTTTTGTTGTTAGTTTTGGCATGTTTTTCTGCACGTAGAACGAGCAAAGCATTGAATGGAAAGTCAAATGGACACTCCGTGTGTTTTTTATGCCACTCGTGCCTGAGTTCCGTGTGGGACGTGTACCTTGAAGCAAAGTGACACACAAGACGCTGCCCACAAAACGTAGCAGAGCGTGGTTTCGATCCACGGACCCTCTGGGTTATGTGCACAGCGCGCTTGCACTGCGCCACTCTGCT